CACACACACACACACACACACGTGTGTATGTGTGCGTACACAGCCCTGGGGATATGGACGGTCACACTAATTGAGTGTGACTGTGGTCTGAGAGAACACGCAAACGTGGTCGTGTGTATACAGCCCTCCTCTCGTAGGCATTCGTCAGCCGTTGACCTGAAGGCAACCCGCTTTTGCCTCGCTTCGGGGGCGTTTGTGGTGCCTCGTCTGAATTCTGCGTTTTCTCTCTCAGCTGCCCCCCCCAACAAGTCTTGTGACCCTTTCTAGATGTGCTGTCTTGAGAGTATGTACATATTTGCTCAGAGGTCATCCCCTTGAGCTCCCAGGGATCTCTCTCTCTCGTACCCTGTCAACCTTTCCTTATGAACACTGGACACACGGATGATGGTCCTCAGTAAATAAGGATAGGATGACAGCTGTATGATGGGACGGGCTTTTGTGGGGAGTGTTGAAGTGGAGTCTGTCTGTCTGGCAGGAGCGCATGCCAGAATAAACCTGTTGGGCCATGAAGTGCCCACATGGTGTTTGTGTGTGCTGTAGCAGACAAACAGGGTTGCCCCTTGGAATCAGTCGTATATTAGCTATCATCTCCATTGTTCATTCTGAGGAGTAAATAAAGCCCCACCCTTTTGCCTGTACAGTAAAAAAAACATTTGAAGAATTTTGAAGTTGAACTATCAATACACTGTTGTTGATTTTGTGGTGTCATACTCATGCACATGTGTTTATGAAAGTGTTCAGGGGGACAGAATGGTGGTGTTGAAAAATACTGACTGTTGTACTATAGTAATAGGACTGTTGTGCGGATAAAAGCATAAAAGAATTGTGTGAAAGTGGAGGCAGACAAATCAGTGGGTTACTAGAGAATGGATACATATGATCACACACATTGCCCTGTCCATTCTAGTTTATTGTTAAGGGAAATAAAATCGGATTCTGTTTTCTACAGCCACCTTTAACGCATATTAGAATAAACATTCTAAGTCTATACCACTTGGTTTTTATATTTTGAAGGCACACAGCGTGGTGTGGTGTAGTGGATAGAGCAAGGACTAGGACTCAGGAGACTGAATTTGATTCCTTAGTTCTGCCATGAAACCTCACTGTGAATGTGGAACTGGTAAAACACTCCTTAAATACCTCACTTACCTTGAAAACTCTATAACTGTCACTGATAAGTCAGTTTTGACTTAACAGCATGTAACAACATTTATCATTTGCCATAGACGAGTATTTCTTTTTACTGTTCCTTGTGAGGCATAGAGATAAAACTGGGGGGTTCATCAAGCATTGTCCGTTCACAAGTGGAGTGGCATCTGCTAGGGGAAGAGATTCCTCATCTTCCAGTTGAGCCCTTGTACCTTCCCCAGTCTGTTCTGAAGAGTCAGGGAACACCCTAGGGTAGATTATAGAAATTGTGAGAGGCTGCTAAGACTGGGAGAAGCTCTCCGTCTTTCCCCTCGGTGTGAACAGAAGGTTACTAGTAAACTTTAAGACTTCTGACAGCGAGAGAGGAGTCACCTAAGGCTATCGCTCTGAATTATCTTGTTGCAGGGAGAGCTTCTCCAATGTACAGTAGATTCTTTTCATGAAACCAAAGTTGTGTGATATGAGTAAACAGTATTCATTTCTCATAGTGTTGGTGCCTCCTGTTTCCTGGAAGTGGGAAGAGTAGGATAGAAAGTAATCATGTTGTGCGTCCCTTACACTTGTGGAGAGGTACGTAAAACATCCACACTATTGCGACTGTTCTTTTGCTGAGGCAAGATCAGATCTGGTTTGGAGCTCCATTGCTATTTCCCAAGGCTAAGGCTAAATCTCACATTCCAAAGAACTAAATTCCCTAGTTACCTGCAATATATGGAAAGAACAGCATGAATGTGGACCCAGAGTACACAACAGTTTTGGATCTTACCCCAGGTAAAATCCCTGGGCAAGTAATATTTGAACAGAACATGTAAATTAATGCTCTTTTTGTGCTCCTTGATTTTGATTGATTTGATTTGATTTGTGTACTGATCATCTGGGTACCAAGGCCATTCCTATAATGCAAATAAGAAGACCTGCACGTCATAAGCATTTCAAGTGTATATGGGTTTCTGATCGTGAATATTTGTGGTGGAAGAAAAACATTGTTAACTTGCT